GGGGGGGGGGGGGGGGGGGGTGTATTTTTATTCGTCCTGGCGGTAGTGGTTGGCCCATGGCCCTGGCACCCTTAAAAAGCGGGGAGGGAGCACCCGGGGTTTTCCCGGGCCCGGGTTTTCACTTCACCAAGCGGGAAGCCCCGTGAGGTTTTGGGGGAGTCGCATAAAGGGTGAGCTGCTCCTTGTAAAGGGTTTTGGCCATTTTGGGTTAATTTCCTGGGGTAGGGAGGACAGTTAGGTAGGATTAAATTTTTTTTTGGGTGCTTTCACTTCCAGAGACAGTTGTAAGCACTGTGTAACTGCCTCGAGGAAGCTTGACCATTTTAACACAACGTGGTGTGATCATCCCCCGTTGCGCGGAGTGAGGGTTCTCGACCCCGCACAACATGATCTACTCGGACGGGGGGGGGGGGGGGCAAAAAAAGCCCTCCCTCGGATATTTAGCAACCGGGGAGGGGGGCGTCAACCCGTGCCTGAACTCCCTAAACCAAAAAAGGGCTTGATGCAACAAAAAAACCCCCCCTTTTAAGGAAAGCTGCCCCCCCATCTTCTCCCGAGGGCCAAAAAAAAAACCTACTATGCATGCGGGGAAAAAAAAACACGGCGAAAACAAGCGCTTTTTTTCTCCCCCCCCCCAGTGATGCCCCTCTCTTCTGAAAAAACCCCGATCGACCTGTGGTACACATCTTTACGTGTAAAAAACCCAAACAAAATTCCTGCGTACTTGGCGTACTTGCTCTCTTCTAAATAAGTGAAAAAACTACCCCCCCGAAAGCGCTCGTAAGGGCACAACCCCCCCCCTGTTTTTATAGTGTCTTGAAATGGGTGACGCCAGAGGACACAACAGCAGTAAAAGCACGCAGCAGGACCACCCCACAGCTGGCTGCCAGCTGCCAGTTGGTTGTGAGGTTTCCCCAAGCTTTAACAGCTCACACAGCTGACGGGTTTTTTACTCGAACTGCCCAGCGAACGAACCTCAACGAACCAAAAAGCTATTACTGCTGTAACGGTACAAATCTCCCAGACTACTGCTGTCTGTGCATACAATACAGTGTAGAGATGGACTTGTTGTGTTGTAGAAATAAACAACAGGTGCGTGCTTGGCTGGATGCATATGCGTATGTAATCATCTGCTGGCCTACATACAAAAGCGGTCGCTCGATCTCGTTGCTGATGTTGGCTGCTGTTCACGATTCGATGCGGTTCACAAGTTTGTTCGTACTTTACTTGTACTTGATAGATACAGCAGTACCTTTTCCGTAATTGTTCTGTCTCCTGTTCTCGGCCTGTTGGCTGCCTCGCAGATTGCACGTGCATTTGCAAATTTGCATACATGTTGAATGCATGACAAGAACTTTGGTGCCGTTCCGACGGGAACGGCTCCCGCTGAACGTTCAGTCATCACACAACCGGACATGACCGATCACAGATAAAAACCGACCAGCGGGAACAAATAGTCTTGAGTGTAATTCCCCCCCTCGCGAACTCAAACACGACTTGCATCATGCATCACCACAATGATGCAACCAGAGGTAGACACAGCAGGTATTATCACAAAAAGGGGGGTGAGATGATGAGGTTATGTGGGGGACGCGGCAGACGGGAGAAAGCGTGAGGCAACTAACACCGGGTGGGTCACCGGGCCCAGCGGCTACACTCCGTGCGGCCTAACTATTTATATACTTGCATGTTGCAGCATGCTGCAATTTATGAAAGCTGAAGATGCGAGAGAGACAGAGAGAGAGAGAGAGCCAGACAGAGAGAGAGAGAGAGATGCGAAGAAGAAGGAGGCGTGTCGCAAGGTGTGTAAAAGACACCCTACATGATGCACGCCTGCGGCCGGCCGGCTACATTTTGGTGAATTATGAAAACCGGCAAACCGAAAATGCGTCTACGAAACTTCTCTGTAGTCTGCTCTTGCTGTTTGGCAACCGACCGCCGTTAGGTACAAATTTGACACATGCGAACAATATTTCATTTACCGACAGCATGCAATCTCTCAGAGTCTTTGGGTGTGTTGCTTCCGCAACGGCCTTCCTGAGAAACGCATGCGTATGCAAATAATGATGCAAACCAAGAAATCTAGAACTGAAGCCGCGGGGTGGTGCGTCATGTTTTTCAGACGTGGTTGGACGTGCGCATCTTTAGTCGCGGGCTCGTCGATTGCTCGCTTTGCACACATGTGTGTGGCTTGAACGGAGCACAAAATCAAGACACGGCTGCCCTCCCCCGCAGCGGCTCTGGTGCTGAGTGCTGGAACAACGACTACCAACACAACCACAATTAGCGAGAGGGGGCCTATGTCCCAGTTGGCGCCACGAGCTTGTTGTGTGTCTTCCGTGCCATTGCTTGTCGAGTCTACCAGGTGGACATGTGGATGTGTTCGGTGATATGTAGACTTTTTAGACTACAGATAACCCGCCGTGTTATCGTTGAGTTGAAAACAAGGGAACAACAACGACTCTTTTTTCTGTCTTCATGTGTTCCCTGCATACAAGTATATTATATAGAACCAAAAATGACAGCTGTATACGCCCGCACCTCAGCGTTCGAGAAGTGGTGGTGAGATCCAGGCTGGGCCTTCAAGCTCGCCAGTTTGTGCCGCTCGGACTTCTCCCCCATGGTCTGGACGAAGAGGGTAGGACTGGCCCCAAACAGCAGTCAGTTCGGTGATTTTGGTCCGCCCACCAGCTCCTGCTACAGCAGTAGTGTGTAGCGTTCTCACGTTCTCACACGTTGTTGCCGAAAACAAGCAGTGCGTCCGAGGACGATGATGTCAAAGGATGTCGCCGCCCCCTCCCCTCCAGCGCACGGGCTGCCCGGTGCTTGTCCTCCTCAGTCCCTCTGGTCAACAGGGGGGCGCGGGTAGTAGCTAAGTGAGGCAGTGCGGAGGAAAGGCTCTCGACGGTCTGCCTCTCACACACACGCGCACGTTTACCCGTCCTCTCCAAAAAAAAAAATGAGAACCGAAATTCGCTCCGCAGTTTCGATGGATGCAGGGGGGGGGGGGGGGCGGGCGGCGGCTCGGCGGGCAGCGAATTTGATTGATTTGGTGTTGGTCGCAACGGCCACTTTTGTTGTACTGCTGCACGCCGACGGAGCCCGCAGCGCTCGGAGGGTAAGGAGCCAAAGGGGCAAGACGAATAGGCCTGCGTAACCAAGGAGGCGGGCTGGACTTGCGCCTGTGGGATCGAGGTGTGCGCGGCAATAAAGAGATATATACACATGTACCGAGGGAGATATTTTTTGAAACACACGCCCGCAGCCTGGCTGCCGGCTGGAGCAGGTTAGCAGCAGCAGTAGCTGCAGCGGCGCTAGCCGATAGCAGCGGTTAGAAGCTTTCGGTGATGACAAGCAGTGCTGCAGGCGGTAGTATATCTGAGGGAGAGCCACAATCGACGAGAGGGCTAGGCGCTGCGATGCCGCCGCCTGCCTGTTACTCTCCCTGCGGCGGACAAGGGCTACAGCAGTACATACGGCCCTCTACAAGTTCTACTTTTTGCGACTGTGAGGTCTGTTCCCGCGGTCGGCCTTTGGTCACACGTCGGCGACGCTGAAACTGGCTGGAATGCACTCTGAGCTTCGGTGACAAGCAAGTTTGTACACAGAAACAAGGAGTAGCAGCAGCAGCAAAATCTCTCAATTACTGCTTCGAAAAACACAATGCCTTGTCTACACATCCAAATGGACCACTCTTTCCCCCGCACTCCGTTGCTGAATCTCTGCCATCTTCTCTTTGGGTGTTGATACAGCAGCAACACAGAATATGCTCGGAGGTTCCAGTAGTGGCACAGGCGGCCATCGCCCAGGATCACTCTGGACATGCACTCGATGCAACCGGAACAGCGAGGCGAGGCTTGACACTTGCCACCACTGTCGAGCTCGGGCGCCTTCGGCCTCCGCCGCCGCCGCAGACGGGAGCAGCAGCGGGAACGGCAGCAGCGGTAGCACCGGCGCGAGATTCAACACCGGCAATCCGTTCCAGCGTTTCGTTCCGCCCGGCAGCAGCAGTAGCAGTAGAAAAAACAATAGCAGCAACAACTTTACCAGCTCCAGCAGCAACGAACGCAGCAGCAGCTACGGCGGCAACGTCGGTGGTAGCGCAAGACCCTACAACCAGGGCAGCGGGCGACCGACCCAACAGCAGCAGCAGCAGCAGCAGCAGCAGCAGCGTGACCGTGCAGGCGGTGGCCCGGGACAAAGGCCCCCGGTGGCGGCAGTCAGCTATAACAAGAACAGAGCGCGCGGGAGCGGGAGCGGGAGCGGAGGCCGCGAGTCTGAGGGCGGCGGCCGAGTCTACATCAACCAAGACGGGGCGGGATCCTACATCGAAGATCTCTTCGGGGGCGGGGGCGGGGGCGCCTGGCAAGTGTGCCACGACCCTGACGAGGACAGTCGCGGTCAGCAATGGCGGGGTCAACCGCGTCCGTCGTCGGCAAAGCCGCTGCCGCGAGTCCCGATAGACGAGGAGGCCGCGCAGACGTGGATCTACCCTGTGAACTACCCCATCCGCCAGTACCAGCTGCAGATCGTGACCCAGGCCCTGTTCCAGAACACCCTCGTGGCACTGCCGACGGGCCTCGGCAAGACGCTGATCGCCGCCGTCGTCATGTACAACTACTACCGGTGGTGAGTGCGGAAGTCAGGCGGTTCCCCGGTTTGTCGTAACCTGCTACGAAGCCATGCATGCTGTTGGGCCCCTCACGTTGTACCGACTTGCTGCCGGGGCAGACTCGTTCTGCTTGCCCTGGTCTTTTGAGGACCTCTTGGCATTTGCAGTGAGGGGGCCGTGAGTTAAAACAAGCACGGCGTGATGAGGGCCATCTTGTTTCGGTTGGTACATATTGCAGTTGGTGATGGCTGAAGCAGACATGATCGCGCCCTTCTACTGCTCTAGTCGTTTGTTCGTCGAAACCCGTGCTCGAGAGCGGGGCTCGCCATACCGATGTGTAGTTACGGCAGTTTCATGATGAGACGAATCCGCTATGCACTTCTCACCGCTAAATGCACTTGGGTGGTATCTGCGTTGCGCTATTTCTGGTGCGTCGGTTGCACCCAAGACCAGTTCTCTCTCGCGTTCCGGGCCGACGAATAAGGCATGACATGCACCTGTTAAAACCATCTCGAGCTTCGCGGGCCACGGTCTATCACACCTTGCAACCGAGGCAAGCTGGGGCGACCAGAACCCCAACCGCCTCCACAAGGATATCCCCCCTGCCCCTGAGGCCACGAGAATCCCTCCCGAGTTTATAACCAGCCGGTTTGCCTCCACTCACTGTGAAGAGTGCAGCACATCCCCTTCGACTGCTGTGGTTATATCTCCAACGGGTAGTCTTTCTGTGCTTGTGCTTTTTTGTGTATATGTATATGTATCATTTCGCCTGTTTTTGTGCTTCGGGACAAATTTCGCCGGCGTAAGTCAATCTTTTCTCAAGGGTCTTTCTCATGGGCACGCACGAGGGTCGTCGGTACTACCGCGCACGCCCGAGGACCGCGACCCACCCGTGGCGCGTGTGCTTGACGCCCAAAGTTGAAACTGTCTCTATACCCCGGGGACGTGTTCCGCGGGAACAAAGCCTTCCCAAGAAATACAAAAACCATTTACTGCTTTCGAAAAAACAGAAGAATTAGAGCACACAAGTCCCACAGAACATGGGCAGCACCACGGTACTACCGTGATACACAAGAGCAAGTGATCAACGCAGCGGATTACAGCAGCAGCAGTAGGACCTGCATCAAAGACGCCGCTAAAACACACACGAATTAACGTACACGCGAACAGCGGTCGCAGCAGCAGGAGGAGGACCTGCAGCAAAGATGCCACGAAGGCACACACAAACTAACGTACACGCGAACAGCAACACAGTATGACTACACAAGAGCGAGTGGTCTTACGCTGCGGATTTAAGCAGCAGCAGGACCTGCAACAAAGACGCCGCGAAAGCACATACACACTCACATACACGCGAACAGCAGTCGCATCAGCAGCAGGATGACAGCAGGAGGACTTGCAAGAAAGACGCCGCTGCAGCACACACGAACTCACGTACAGGCGAACAGCAGTCTGTGAGAAACAGAAAAATACACCGTCCATGGAGCAAGTTCCACGCAAATTCTGCACGTTTGTATTGATTTCCTTAAGAGAGCTTTAAGTCCTGGAATTCGTTGAATCTTTACGTTCTAGAGCAATAGATCGTGACACCATTTGTTATATGCCGAGGATCTACTGCCGTGTCTTTGCAGGCAGGAGGTTGGTCCCTTTTTGTCCGATCACCGATGATGCAATCAGCGGTGGTAGTAATAGCAGTCAGTCAGGAATATAGGAAGGCATCACAACATACATAACGATGTGTGTAGTACGTTCAAAGAAGTGGAGTTCCGCTCGAGTTATTGGTTGGGTGAACCTTTCGCCCTTCCTTGGGGTTTTATCTTTGAAGCTCACACAAAATGAGGAATACGTTGTTTGTGAATAATGCCGCTCCCATACATATGTAGCTGAAATGAAGTGCTAATGCAGCCAGTCCCGGGTAATAGGTATAGTAGGTAGCTGCTCAGAAGAGTGCGCCGATGGGTATGCGTACACAGGTTATAAAGCATAAAGCTCCTGGATCATGGAAAGAAAGAAAAAAAATCAACATAGTCTATTAGATTGCTCCGAATATTATTCCTGATTGGTTTTTTGAGTGGTGAACCTTTCGCCCTTGCGTTGGATCTTTACAGGTCACGCATAATATAAAATATGTTTTCGGTTATACGGTTTCTATGTACATAGATAGATACTTCAGAGTAGATCAAATGAACTTCTTGATGCAGTCAGCCTCAGGTAACAGAAGGGGTATGCATATAGGTACCTATTGTGAATACTCCGCTGATGGGTATACGTGCGTTCTAAACCCGCCCGTGAGCTGGACTGGATCATCTGGAAAAAATCGTCCAGGATCACAACACGACCGTTCCTCTTCTTAGATTCCTTGGAAAACAATTCAGGTTGAATCTTTCTTCATCAACGATCCTTTTCTGAATGGGAATAGGTACATTGACGTGTTTGCGCAGAACAAAATTTGGCTCGTAACGACCAGTTCGGGGTATCTAAAGTTCCTCCGACGCGACTTCTGCCTAAATATGTCTGGAGATTTCGCTATTTAGAGAAATTTGCAAGCAAAATTTGCCGCCCGAACGACCACGCGCGCTGGTTGGTCCACGTCAGTTTGGGCCGCTTGCTGCGCCGTTGTGGCACGAGACGGCACGAGACGGCAGCGGGCTACGAGACGCGCAGCCAGTGCCCGCCCCATGCCCCTATACACAAGTCATGGATAGAACCAGGAGGCCGATCCGGGATGTCAACCTTAAACGCCGCTACGGCGCCATGAGGCCCGGAGAACTGATGCACGAGCAGCTTTGCCTCTTGTGCGCAGCTGTCCTGCTGCTGTTGGTTGGCACAGCGAGGAAGAAGATGAGCACGAAACGGAAGAGCTCGAGTTGTGCGCTGCGCTCATAGCGCTGCAGGTGGAGACAGTACGGGTAGATCGCACGGTCATCAGGACAGTGAGGGGGAGGGATTTGTGCATCGCCGACATCTCGGAGGACAGGGCGTGGTGTGACTATCGCTTCAATTTTCAAATATTAGGTGCACATGTATGTGCACATCTTTCCTGGCCCCTTCGAACTCCACGGCTGCATGTATGTATGTGCGCGGCGAGATTACACGGCCAAATGCGGATCATCTGTCTTCGTCTTCTGGGTTTTTTTTTTGCGCACGGTGGAAAGACTTTATTTTTAAAAGAAATTACATGGCATCAGTATAGCAAATTTCGTTGTATGCGCAAACACGTCATATTAATCTATATCCAAAATCACATTTGAGCTTTAGTCCTATTGTTGGAATTCGTTGAATCTTTAACTACATTTCGTTTTGCGTGTGCAAACTAATGATTGAATCGCTATTGCCGATTAGCCGCCAGGGCCGCGGCTGAAATGAAGTGCTAATGCAGCCAGTCCCGGGTAACAGAAGGGTATAGTAGGTAGCTGCTCAGAAGAGTGCGCAACGTCCACCAGTGTTCGACATTCAGCTACCTGGTCACGGTTGCACCAACGACAGCCACAATAACAATAACCAAGGCGACCCTGATGACCAAAACAACGGCAACAACAACGGAAATGACAACGGCAATATCCCTTCCAGTGGCTCTGGCAGCGACGGGTTCCTGGCATATTGTCGACGAAATTGATGATGGTGCATGCCTACTGCGATGTATCGCCCGTCGCGTCTTCCATGATCCTAGCATGCACTCTTCGGTCCGAGGGCAACTCATCTACCACATAACGAACAACCTTCATATCCCCACCCCAGGCTCAGGTCAAAATACCTTCTCCCAGAGCATCTCAGCGGGGATAAATTCAGCACACGTTCAAGTAGCCGGTCATCCTCAGCAAACCTATCAAAGTGTCGCACACTACCTTCAACTCATGGCAAACCCAACCACCTACGGAACGGGAATAGAGAGTGTAGCTGCCCAAAAGTTGTGAAGCATTAACATCAAAATTACACTCGTTGGCCAACCATACCCGCCTCCACCGTCCGATGATACATGCGATTTATTATACCGCCACCAGCACTACCGCACGCTACGATTTTTTTTTTTTTTTGTCTTCACTTCTAATCAGCGCTCACAGCGCTAGTGCCGTTTACTCCAACCCGTGGTCACACAGAAGAGCCCCTCTCTACCCTCCCCTCCTGCGGTACTTTGCCTTCGATTTTTAATGCGAGAAGAGTTCAGCACTCTCTTCCCTCTGTGTACACAGGAACTAGCGCTATCCACTAGACCAGGAGCGGAAGCGACCCCTAAAATCATTCCCATTTCCTCTTGCGTCGCCCCCCCGAGGCCATTGCACCTACATCTCGAAATGGGAGCTATAATTTCTATCGCCCCCAACCCCGTGTGTCACGAACGCTCGGGGCAGGTTTCCGCGGGGGAAGGTCGTGTTCCTGGCCCCAACCAAGCCCCTCGTGGCGCAGCAGATCAGCGCCTGCTACGACATCATGGGCGTTCCGGAGCAGGACACCGCCGAGCTCCAGGGGTCGGTGGACCCGAAGAAGAGGGCCCAGCTGTGGGACGAGCGGAGGGTCTTCTTCTGCACCCCGCAGAGCATGGCCAACGATATCAAGCACAAGCGCTGCGACCCCGCGCGGTTTGTCTGTGTCGTCGTGGACGAGGTGAGAGGGGAGGGGAGTACTCTCGTGTTTGCATGCCGTAGTCGTTTGGACCATTAACTTGGTATCCCTACAAAGCCGGGACAGAGCACGCCGGGGGGGGTTGGGTCATCACGTCTGCTTGCTTGTTTTTTTTTGCCTGCCTTCTCGTGCGTTTAGTTGGCCCTATGATATGAGTGTGAGAATATACTCAGTCAGTTTCTGAGAGGCCGTGGGGGCGAGGGGTCGATGACAAGAGCGATTCGTCTGAACAAGGACCCGATAGTGCTTGATTCCTGTGTTGGGTGCTCAACACCTCTGTCAAATGCCCGTGCTTCGTCTGCCCAGAATACCGGTTGATTCACGGTGCCGAAACGTGGGCGGGCAGCCACAATACGTATCCTCTCTGTTGCCTCTGTATCTGAGAAGCCTTGTACACAATTCCCCTCGAACGCCCACACACTTCCACTATCCAACGACCATAAAGGTGCCCCTCCAAAAAAATCATCAGAAAATTATGTTCAACACTCGGTTTCAAACGTGCTGTTTTTACTCATCGCCGACGGCGAACGTCCCCCCCACGGCGGGGACGGTCCTCCCCTGCAGAAATTAAGTCCCCGCGGTCATCCGTTTTGTGCATTGGAAACCCCTTTGTGCATTGGAAACGCCTAAACCCCCTTGGGCATTGAAAAAACCCCTTGGGCATTGGAAACGCCTGCCTTGTCCATTGAAAACCCGCCGGTCGGTTCGCTTGGTGCCGGACGCAGGCGCATCGGGGCACCGGGAACTACGCGTACGTGAACGTGATCAGAGAAGTTGCCGCCGCGACGGCGCACTTCCGGGTGCTGGCGTTGAGCGCGACTCCGGGAAGCGACATCAAGGTGCGCCGTTCGTCGTTGCTGTCAGTATTGTGTGTTGTTTGGGTGGACGCGCTGAACAATGTTGGCGGTGCGGTCAGTGGTACGGTGTCGGAGTTTTTCTTTTTTGTGTGACCTTGCTTGCCTCGCGCTATTTCCGTGGTCTCGTGTGTGGGGTGATGTTAGCAGCGTGAAAGAGGGTTTGATTTCTCCGATGCAAGAGGCTCCCGTTGTTTGCGTCGCCCTCAGGGAATATTATGTGTCCACTGCTGCTGCTCTCCATGGTCTTATAGTCATGCTCTGTTTTTGCTCCCGCGCGTTTCTTCCGTTCTCGCCCGCTCCGCCTCCTTCAGACGATCCAGCAGGTGCTGGTAAACCTCCGCATCGCCCACATCGAGTGCCGCAGCGAGGACGACCCCGAGGTGGCTCGGCACACTCACGCGCGTCAGATCGAGGCAAGTCGGGTAGAGCCCGCCTACCACACCCGCCTAGCACTTAATATTTTCTTCTTCGGCGGTATGTCCACTCATTTCAGAGCCCCCATGCTTGCTTGAGACCTCGTGGCATGTTAATAGTGACTACGGAGGGTAGTGACGGCGGCGAGGAGGAGGGCAAGAAAAGCAGTGGCAACAGCAGCAAAAGCAGCAGCAGGATGAGACACACTCAATGTTCAGTCGGCAGGTCGGATGCCAAAATTTGGAGACCGAAGACGGCCGACTTCTTGCTCACCATGTTGAGGATTTCGTGCTATTCCCCCTGCTGCTGCTGCCGCTGCTGCCGCTGCTGCCGCCGCTGCTGCTGCTGCTGCCGCTACCGCCGCCGGTGCTCTATTTTTATGGCCGACGATGACGACGCAAACCCCCAAACCCCCAACAGGTGGTGAAGTGCAAGCTCGGGGGCCACATTGACGCCATAAGGCAGAGCCTCGTGGACGTGCTCCAGCCCCTGGTGAACAGGATGGCCAGCAAGCGGGTGCTCTTCAGCCGGGACCCTATGGCCCTCAAGGCTTGGACTGTGCTCCAGGTTCGTTGTTTGTTTTTGCAGGAGCGGAGTATGCAACCATGTTG